ATGCTGGGCGAGACCAAATGGGAATACAACAGAAGCAAAATGTTTGACTTCTGAGAAGGACATTTTGATACCTTAGAGACAGTTACACCATATTCAAAAGTATAAGCGGATTTTTTTTTAAAAGCACAGTAAACAAAACAACTTAAACTCATGATGACCCTAATATAATGAGGAAGAAAAATATAGAATTCAGAGTCTTCAGTTACCAGGGACATGTGCTTTAAGTCTCTTGGGACAAAGCAGGGCTCTTAGTGAAGGGGCATCAGTCACACTGTCTCCACAGTAAGGGTGACCTTAGTTCAGAGAGAAATGTCAATTTGTCAGTAGCCAATAGTTTAAAACTGACTATCTATGGGCTGTTCCATATTTTATTTTGGGTTAATTTTTAATTAAATTGGAGTTAAGAGGAAACAGGGAAGACCACATTTTGTTTTCTGCATTCAAAAAAGATCATGTACCAAATTTTAATCTTCTGAATCACTAACACATATCTGCGTTGTGCCTTGAGACCTTTAATTGTGTTATGGTTAGTACTCAAACAAGCACTAATATTAGCCTTCTATTACCCAAAAAACAAAACAAAACATTTTTCCAGAAAACACTTGAGAGATCTTTGATGGGTATTATAAACATCCATGCCTGTGAGACCGTTGAAAACGGTGAGGCCAAATCTCTCCAATCATGCGCTGAAGGGATTGGCTCAACACAGAGTCACTGTTCTGACAGAGGAAGGGACAAAGCAATCCTCTGAGACTTCCGCCAACTGGCACAGGTGACATTGAATGAACAATACGTACTGACATTTGTGTCTTCCACAATTCATGATAAATAAGCAAACTGGTTATTTGTAATCAGCCAAACTTGCTTCTTTGAAAAGGCTGCTACTGGCCGCTGCAGAGCTCATGTTCCTTCCCAGTATCAGAAAGGAAAAAAATCAAGTTACATTTATAGCTGGTTTTATCGCGTCACGCTCTCTTCTAGCAATGACATTTCTTACCACAATGGCAAAAAATAAACTAGTACTACTTCTCAAAATTCCTATTAAACCAAAAACAAACAAAGCAAAAAACTCCTATTAAACCACCCAATTTTAAGCTGGGGGCAATTTTATAGTTGAATTCAGTTTTCATTGTCTACACAGCTAATGTAAATAACATTCCTCCTCATTAAAGTTAACAGTAAAGCTAGTCTGTAAAATAGACACTAAATTACATTGACATGTACTGTTTTAAGATCACACCAATACTTTTATGAATAATGAATAATAATTCCCTACAAATAATAATATCGTACAGCTGTTTTTCAAAGCTGTGTCTTATGTTATTCACATTCTCAAATGGACCCATTCTTTCCCTTGTCCAACACAGGACTTTACATAAGCTCCTTAAAATCAGCACAAATCCTAAGCAAGACCGCCAGGACAGTTAGGGAGTCTGCTCATGGCTCATCTTACATAGAAATAAGGGACAGATGTTTGTGGGACAGAAACGTGGGCCCAGACCCAGTGGAGGGTTTTACCTTGGCTTTCTGCTACTTAACCCTTAGTGAACTGCACCCAAGAGCAGCCATTTCACTGCCACTACGGAAATAAAGGAAGTTAGACATCTCACAACACCAAGATACGGAAAAATGAAAAAGTTGAGAAATACTCATTATTTTAAACCAAGTCACTTGTAATTGATTGTAAATCTAAATCAAAAAAATGTTTTTACTTAACATATGATTCTCACAGAGATTAAAAATTTCAAAAGCCTAAGACAAGGACAAAAGGAAAGAAGGGACATACTAAACTAAACTTGTCTATCATAGAACTAAGCAAAACAGCAAAATATTTCAAAAAAATACATATTTATGTGCAGTCATCAATTAACACTTTTAAAGGAAGGAGCTTATTCTAACCCACCTCAAAGGGGTGTTACAACCGCATTTATACAGCCGACCGGTAGGGTGTGCCGGTTGTGTGTGTCGAGAGATGCTGTGCTTTCAGCTAAGGCAGAGCCGGCATAACGGAGAGTGTGCCGGCGGCGTCGTACTGTACTAAACTCTGCCTTCAGCCACATCTCTTAATGCCAGGCCTGACAAGTGACTACCAATCCTGGCAATTTCGTTGTTGTTATGGGAACAAAGTGTCATTGTATATCATAAATATCTCTTATTTCCTTATTGGCCAGATTCAAAGAATTGATAAGCTGGCAATGTAATTGCACCCATGGCTCAGCCAAAAAAAAAAAAAAAAATTTTTTTTTTACCAGAAAAGTGTACACTGAATTGAAAATGTCTGAAAACGGATTTAAATGTATGGTAAAATCCCTGAGTGTTGTGAAAGCTGAACTTTGAAAGCCCAGCTGCTGCCTGGCTCGCCTCTTACTGACTCCTCAGTCTCTAGTTCCCCATCCTTCTCGGGCACCGCAGTCATGTCTCCGAGTCCCTGCATTTCCCCTTGTGCTGTAAAAGTATTCGTTAATACCTGCAGTTCTAACTGGCAACAAGTGCCCCTGATAAATCCTGAAGAACCTAGGAACCAAAAATATTTAAATTGGAAGCTGTAGGTTTCATAGTTTTACCAGTTGAAACTTCTATTTTAAAAAAGAAAAAAGGGTACTTGAACTAAGGACTCAATCGAATAATTATGCTGGAAATATAGATTCCCACCTATGAAACAAAGGAACAGTTCCTTTCCCAACAAAAAAGAGTTCATTGTCTAGCAGGTCAGTGGTGACACTGTCAACATTTGCCGACTGCCCATCCTGTCAGCTACCCGCTTCCCTGTGCACCCAGCATGCTCCAGGCATGGTTCCCAGCTGTCATCAGTAGATGCAGTTCCAACGCTGGAAACTAACCTTGTCCAATCAAAATATCATCAAGAAGCTCAATGTAGAGTGTCCCATGCAAATGAGAACTGTATGTAAAATATTCTCCATTCTATTAGTTTGCTAAGAGTTAATTCCATTTTTAAGTGGCTTCAATTATTCTATTTATTTTCAGAGTTACCCAATAGTCTTTTTTGCCCCCTTAAAAGTGAATAAAAGCATAAAATTCCGTTAAAACAAATTATATTTCCAGGTACTTCCTTGCACAGAAGTACTTACTCACTAGAAGGTGATAACTCTAGGCTGCTAACATTTTAAAAGGACAAAATATGAAGTGCTGGTGGTGACTCTCTTAGGGCAAGTCACCGGCTATGCTGTGGCTGGTTCTAGGTGACCTTCCGGTGAGGCAGCACGCTCTGGGGCTGTGCTGTCCAATGCCACAGCCACCAGCTACGTGAGGCTACTTCAATTTACATTAACCCTGAATAAAATTTAAAATTTCCTTTCTTGACTGCACTGGCCACACTTTAAACATCCAACAGCCACGTGGCTGGTGCCCAGGGTCCTGGACGGCAGAGCCCCGCGCCCCGCCAGCGCACTGCTGCTCCAGAGCCCAGGGCCGCCCCGCGAGGTCCAGCACCTGGAGAAGCGGGGGCGCACGTTTATTTGTCTAAAAAAAAAATTTTTTTTGAGAGAGAGAAAAAGCACTTTGTTGCTCCGCTAAGTTATACATTCATTGGTTGCTCCTTATGTGCCCTGACGGGGAAGCAAACACCAAACCATGGTGTATTGGGACAACACTCTAAACAACTGAGCTACCCGGCCAGGGCCTCAGAGTACACGTTTAAAATAATATTTAAGTTATAAACAGAAACAAAAGCCTCATAAATCAGATTTAAAAATAGTCTTGTATCACATGCAATTCCAATATCTGGTTATTAAAGTATTTTTTAAATACTGCTTAAATAAATGAGCAGAAATGGGACTTGTTAGAGAGTATAAAAGTCCACAAAGAAAAAGTGGCTGAAGCTTGATTTTATTAAAAGTACCAAAAGGACATTAATTGGGTACTTCAAAAACTGTGATATAGAACAGCAACTTGATTAAATGAAAAAAATTTAAAAACCTGCACGGTAAACACGAGAGCTGTTTGTGCTTGTGAACGTCAGGGCCAAGGCCAGCAGCAGGTCAGCTGTGCCCCTAACTGTGAGCGGCCTCGGACTTCCTAGCAAAGGGCACTGGCCCTCACCGAGGCTAGCTTGTTTCCATCCCTTCAGACCCTAACCGCTTTCACAGCCTGACAGGGTCAAGGAAAATTATCCAATGAAAAGGTTCAGTCAAATTATGACAATTTTTAAAATAAATTAACATATAGAGTGCCAATCTTAACTTTTAATTCTTCTAAATGTCATTGAATTATCATAGACAGGGACATGACCTGCTTTTTAGATTGATCTGAGACTAGTGTTTTAAATATTAAATCAGAAAACCATTTTCCGTTTCATAAAGACAAAAATGGGCCCTTCCAACAAGATTTAAATGGATATCAGAATTCTACCACAGAAATATATCCACCGAACATTTATATGTGTGGTCAGCAAAATGGTAAACTCACGGTATAAAATTAGTTTAAAAAATCCAGACATTTGGGATATCCTATAATTGGTTAGGACAATGCAACAAATAAGGCACTTTAATTAAAAATTAGATTCAATTATTTAATATGAAAATTAAGAAAGATTATAAAGCTAACAAATTCAAAGCTTTAAAGACATCCCGAAGGGAGGCAGCTGGTAAATTCGGCTCCCCGCGACCAGACACCGCCCGCGGGGACCGCCCTGTGAAGCGCCGTGACCCTGCTGTGACCCTGCTGTGACCACGCCTGAGCCCCAGCTGAAAACCCAGACATAATCAGGCACCTTAAGGATTTAACCAACATTATACTTTCTCCGGATATAAAGCTGGGACTGTTTGTACTAGTTTCCTAATGAATATAAAAGTAGAAACAGGAATTCACTTAGAATTTACACAAAAAGCCAAGTTGTGCAGCCCAATTAAAATAAAAGTAACATATTTAAATAGCTTCAGTTAACACCACTAAAGTACTTAAAATCTCTTCCCAGGTAATTTAGGAAAGAAGATTAAACTGTTGGAAGGTCCCTCCCGTCCCCAAGCAGCCCAGGAACTCACCATCTTTAAAATCGCACCATACAGCCGCAGGAGCACCTTCCGGGGCTCGTCACCAACGGTGGCCACAGTGTCGGGTAAGGAGCACTGGAACAGCATGTTACTGAGGCCACCTCTGTGAGAAATAAAGGAATGGTAAGCATCTGTATTCTGAAGGGGAGCCAAGCCACTCTTCTTGGGTAACTACGGATGGATGAGAAGTCAGGGTCCCAGAAGCACCGTTCTCACCAAGTCTTCATTCATTCTCTCAGGATACTTGCAACATAAATGATTAACTCCACAGTTTTCAGATCCATTCCACAAGTCACATTGAAAACAGACAAATCCCCAGTCTGTTCTTCTAGATTGGCACTGGGGAAGAGTGTTTTTGATCACGTGTGCCCACCCATGGCACTGGCCTCTAGAGAATGACAAGGACCAGGAGTCCTCTCTCCAGCACTGGGAACAGCGGAGCCCCAGATGCAGTCCTTCAACCCCACATTCTTCTGTGATTCCAAACTTCCATTATACCAGAGTCCCACAATTGCCAGATTAAAATCTTGGGGAAGTACTTAGACCTCCTCCTCTTCCAGAACTTTCCACCTGAAGTACAGTTCCAATATCTACCCTTTCCATGCCCACGTCAGTAAAAATTTTTCAACTGATTTTGACTGACAAGTCTTTGTTGTTAATCCTCACCCAAGGATATTTTCCCATTGATTTTCAGAGAGAGTGGAAGGGGGGAGGGAGAGAGAAACATCGATGTGAGAGAGACAGATGAATTGGTTGCCTCCCACACAACCCCAATTGGAGCCAGGAATTGAACCTGCAACTCAGGTACATGCCATGCCCTTGACTGGGAATCAAACCCAAGACACTTCAGCTCACTGGCCAATGCTCTGACAAGACTTTTCAAAAACCCCGCAACATTAACTGGTCTTGGAGCATTCAGAGGAAATGGGAGATCTCAATACCCTAACCCTTCCACGTTGCCTACTGAAGACAAGAAACAAGTTACAGGGGTCATTCAAACAAGAGAGAATAGCCGTGGGGACAATCACCTCCTGGGTTGGAAGTGACTGGGTATAGAGGAAGGTTTAGCTAATGCAGGGATTGGAGTTAAATGGCAGAATACAAATTCTATACAATCAGGAATTACAGACAAGAGGCACCTCCTTACCCGTACTACCTTCAGAGTTAATAAATTCTATCTAGTCAATAATTCTTTTGTTTTTGTTTTTTTTATCATCCTCATCCGAGGACATTTTTCCATTTTTTTGTTCAGGTAGAGGGGAGGGAGAGAGAGAGAGAGAGAGAGAGAGAGAGAGAGAGAGAGAGAGAGAGAAACATCGACGTGAAAGGGACACATCGAGTGGTTGCCACCCGCACGACCAACCAGGGCCGGGGACAAACTGCAACCAAGGTACGCGCCCTTAGCGGGAACCGAACCCGGGTCTATTAGGATCGCAGACCGACGCTCTAACCGCTGAGCCAAACCGGCCAGGGCTAGTCAATAATTCTTTAAAAAATAATAATAATAATTCTTGAGGCATTATTACATAAGCACAGCACTCTGCTGGAAGCTAGGATACTACAAAATGGAAATACATTGCACGACCAGTGTGGCTCAGTGGTTGAGCATCGACCCATGCACCAAGACATACATTGCCAGTTCAATTCCCACTCAGGGCACATGCCCAGGTTATGGGCCCAATCCCCAGTGGGGGGCACGCAGCAGGCAACCAAAAATGTTCTCTCTCACTGAGGTTTCTACTTCTCTCTCCCTCTTCCTTCCTCTCTCTAAAATCAATAAAGAAAAAGAACAGCCCTGGCCGGTTTGGCTCAAAGGTTAGAGCGTCAGCCTGCAGACTGGGGAGTCTTGGGTTCGGTTCCCGCTAAGGGCATGTACCTTGGTTGCAGTTTGTCCCTGGTCGCGGGTGGGGTCGTGTGGGTGACGGCCATTCAATGTGTCTCTCTCACATTGATGTTTCTCTCTCTCTCTTCCTCCCTCTCTGCTTCCCGCTCTATCTGAAGATAAATGCAAAAGTGTCCTCGGGTGAGGATTAAAAAAAGAAAGAGGAAAAAGAATAAAAAACAAACAAAAAAATGGAAATATGATCTTGTCCCTGCTCTCAAGAAATGTCCACTCTGACGAAAAAAGCAGACATGAAACTGTAAAACAGAACTCAAAACCAGGAGCAGTGTCTGCAGCACATGCTTCAGCACTCCTGAGTCTACACCTGCATGTCAGATGCGTAGATGCCCAACTTTTAGATAAAAGGGAACTAGCAAGTCGAACCACAGCTTTCTAGAATGACATCCCCAGTCGTGAGAGCCACCAGCCTCTTTCCATGGACAGCCCAGCCTAATCAATATATGCTGCCAAAAGTGAGGCAGCTAATCTACATCACCATGTGCCCAACTGCGCAAGGATTGTGAGCACACAATGACAAGCACTGTCAAGAAATACAAAGCAAGAGAAACAGTTCAACTTGTGTGGGGAGGAAAGATAACAGGAAATTTTTTATCTTGAGGTTGTTAATGTTGCTGTATCAATGTCAGCTAACAACTCTGACAGTTCTGCTACAGTGGCGAACATTCCTCTCCCTTTCCTTGGCAGAACCCAGGGTTCATTCAGGCCGCAAAGTGCCCTGCATCAAGAGCTACTTAGCAGCTGCCTTTACAGCTAGGTGGGCCCGTGCGACCAAGTGCTGGCAAAGAAAACCTATGAGGCCGATATTTGTGTGACTTCGGGAAAATCAACTTAAGATACACTCGAGCCCTCCACCCTGCTGTCTGAAACAAGATGATGGTGTGTCAGCTGCAGAGCTCTTGTCTCTGACCTCCAAAGCCACAGGTGTTTTCTGCTGTGATGCTGGACTGGGACCGCACCAGTTCTAATCTAGATCTAGGTGTAGGCAGTGGGGCACTGGAGTTGGCTCGAAGGGAGGAGGAAGACGGTGCTGCTTTCTGCCCCTGTTCTCACTGCAGAAGCAACGTGGCAGCCCAGCCATGGCAGCTGTTCCAGTGCCCACTTCTTTCAGCAATCCCAGAACCAGCCCCAGGGCACCCTCTCAGAGGTACCTGCTCAAAGGTCTGGGCTTCAGCTCCACAGGGACGCTCAGGCTGAGATACCAGCAGCAGCCAAGCGGTACCCTGTCCTCGGAGGCTGGACCCTAATTCTGTGAGCCCCTCCTCGAATCCTCCAGTTTTGATAACGCCGCCCTCTTCCCTTTGTTCTCCAAGGCCCAGGAGTGGGGCTGCTTCCTGCAGTTAATTATTTTAATCACTTCTGCCTTTTCTGTTCCCAACACCTGTTCACCCAATTCCCTATATTAAATTATCTATGTTGAAGTACCTACTGTTACGCCCACCCCCACCCCCACCCTTTCTCTGTCAGGGTCCTGACTGGTGCATTTGGCCAGAGCTTTGGCAGCGTCTTAGATTACGGTAAGAAGAAAGGCATCCTAGGAACGGCAGAGCAGTCAGCTGAAAGGGGCCTGCATCCCCCCAGCCTGTGGAGCCACCATACCAGGCCCCGGCGGCAACTTCCGCACCTCTAACACAGAGGGAAATACATTTCTATGCTATGCAAGTTTCTGTTATTCTGGAGTTTTCTGTCATAAGCACCTCGACCTAGCTGATACAGCTTATCACCACATCCACTAATTTGTGTTCTTCCAATCTGGAAACTCCTCCTTCTCTGCTATCTAAAAACTACCTATGGTTTAAGACCAAGTTCAAAGTCCAACCTCCACAAGAAGCTTTCGCCGTTTTCCCTGCTAGCTCCTTGAAGTCTAACTTTAATTCTCAAGCCCCAGTGGTCCCCAAACCACAATTGTGGGTGCTCAATAAAGATTTTCCGAAAATGACAATAAACAGCAGCACTCCTGCCCCACTAAGTCTCCCTTCTGCAAGCTCCTCCCTGTTATGTTTGACTTGTGTTGCTCTCTAAAAGGTTTGGTGGATTCATCTTGGCTCCCTAATTAGACTGTAAGCTCCCTATGGGGCAGAACCATCTGCCTGGGGAAGGCATCATGCTAAGAGACAGCTGCAGGCTTCAGAGCCAGGGAGCCTGGGATTCAAATCCCACTTCTGCCATTTATTAGCTGCGCAATCTCAGGCAAATCATTAAACCTCTCTGACCCTCAAAGTCACTCCTCTGTAAAGGAACAGGACTCGGAGTATGAAGGTCCCGGGCTGCAGTGTTCTATGTATTTGACAAGGATTAACTCACTTCATCCTCCCAACAATCCTACAGGGGGACATCGGTATTGCTTCTATTTTATAGATAAGGAAACTGAGGCACAGGCAAGGGAGGAAGTGGCTAAGCCAGGATTCAAATGCAGGTGTATGGCTCCAAGGCCTTGTGTTTAACTCTGATGACATGAGACACACGAGACAAAGCAGCATCATGTGCCATGCTAAACAAAGTAGTAAGTGCTGTGGGCGCCTAGAGCCTTACATCAAGACTAGTCTGGCCCGGGCGGTGTGGCTCCATGGTTGAGCATCGACCCATGCACCAAGAGGTCGCTGGTTCGATTCCCCGTCAGGGCACAATACCTGGGTTGTATGCCAAATCCCCAGTGGGGGGCATGCAGGAAGCGGCCAATCGATGTTCTCTCTCATCAACGTTTCTATCTCTCTCTTCCTCTCCCTTCCTCTCTCACGGAAAATCAATAAAAGAAAAAAAATTTTTTTAAAGACTAGTCTGGCCCTGGTCAGTTTGGCTCAGTGGTTAAAGCGTCAGCCTGTGGTTTGGAGAGATCCAGGTTCGGTTCCCGCTAAGGGCGTGTACCTCGGTTGCAGTTTGTCCCCGGCCCTGGTCGGGTTGTGCGAGTGGCAGCCACTCAATGTGTCCCTTTCACGTCGATGTTTCTCTCTTTTTCTCTTCCTCTCTCTCCCTCCCACTCTATCTGAACAAAAAATGAGAAAATGTCCTCAGGTGAGAATAAAGGAAAAAAAAAAAAAAAAAGACTAGTCGGTACAAACTTGTACAAAACAAATGTCTACATCTCCTATGACTGCTGCAACATATGACTAAAACCTTACAGCTCAAAACAGCCGATTTTGCCCTGCCCAGGTGGTCAATGGTTGAGCATCACCCCATGCACCAGAGATCGCCAGTTTGATTCC